CCATCAAAAGTAGCTGAGCCAAGTGTTAATGGTAAAACACTTCTCTGGATGAAGGATGTTGCAAAAGAGAAAAATAGTGCAATTGTTGGTTCTACTGTTATAGAAGAAAATGGAAAGTATTATAATAGAGTCTATTTTGTAACTCCTCAACAAGAAGTTTATGAATACAACAAACGTCATCTCTATACAATGGGAAATGAAGGAATTTGTTTCACAAAAGGTCAAAAGAAGACGGTTGTAAATTATTTGGGATGGAAAATAAATTTAGCTATTTGTTATGATTTAAGATTCCCAAACTGGTTAAGAAATTCTAAAGAAGATCCTTATGATATTTTACTTATTGTTGCATGTTGGAGAGCTGAAAAAAGACATCATTGGATTACATTAACGACTGCTCGTGCTATTGAAAACCAATGTTATGTTATTGCTTCAAATAATTGTGGAATATTGCCTGACACAACTCCAAATTGTCCTGATGTTGTTTATACTGGAGATTGTAGGTTTGTTGATTATTTTGGATATTCTATTAAAGAAGCAAAACCTGGAGTTGAACAAATTATTTATTCAACTTTGGATTACCAAAAACTTCTTGATTGGCGAGCACATTTCCCAGTTTTGAATGATGCTGACTATTGCGAGCTTTCGATTGAAAATGAAAATACCAACTGATTCTAATTTATATAAAAAATAAATTAGTTCATTGTCATCTTTTCTTTGGGTTAAATCAAATAGGTAATGAATTTAGAGTATTTGCATCATTTGAGTGTTTGGTACAATGAGATAGTCTATGTAATTAGTTAATTATTCTTTATTATAAGAATAAAACAAACAATGATTTAATGTCTGATTTGATTAATGACATAATTTGTAAATGAGTTTTTGTGTTAATAGAATTATCTGGAATTGGTATATAAATTATTAAACAACCAATGAATCTCTTAATCACAGTATCAATAATGGTAATTAGACGAGAATTAAATAACCAATCAAGAAATCCTCTTGTGTCTTGTTTGTATTAGTTTTTACTAATTTAATAAAAGGTATAACTTTAAACAAAAAAAAAAAACAAACATAAAACTCCTATAATAATTCCACAAAAATGACCAGATAAACTTACTTGAGCTAATAACAATAAAGAAAAGATATAAGTTATGATATTTAAAACACAACAATAAACAATATCCATATATTTTCCTGGTTGATAATAAAATATAATAATTAATGTAAATATATATCCACTTATTCCAACAACAGAATTACCTGAAGCAAGTTTTAATGAGAATAACGAAATCATTAATATTGGTTGAAGTACTATTGATACAATAAATAATAAAATAACTTGTGTTGTCCCAATTTTTTTTTCTACTGATGCTCCAAAAACAAGTAATGAAATAGAATTTCCAAATAAATGAAATATTCCTTCATGAATAAAACAATGATATAACATTGGTCCAATTTGATGTATAAAATCACGTCGAGACATTAAAGGAGAAAATCCTTTTGCTTCAATCCCTAGTTCAGGAAGTATAAAATATATACTCCAAATAATTATTAATTGAACAATACTTAAGAATGAAATGTTTCTAATGCACTCTTGGCAATATTTAGTAATTTCATTAAAACACACTAAAAACATCTTCTATGTATTTTGTTTTTCAGTTCATGAAAAAATAAAGTGAAAACAAACTTACTATTAAATTATAGTAAAAAAGACAAAATTGAATTAATTCTCATGTATTTGTTTATTACGAACTTGGTCAATAATTTTTTGTTTCATTTCTTTATCAACTTTCTTAACTATGTTATTAGTCTTTTCTGAAATCCAACTTAACTCAATCTCATATGGTTTATCTTTCCATTCACCATGACATAAATCAATAATTTCTACAAGTTTCACTAATGCCTCTTCACATGTGATTTGTGAGAAGTTTATTTTTTCTAATTCGTTTTTACATATTTGTTTTCCTTTACCAATTCCATTAGCAAAATACCCATATGTTGTTCCTGATGGTTCAATATAATGAAGGGAATATCCATGTTGATCAACTCCTCCTATCAATAAACTACATCCAAATGGTCTTAATGATCCATATAATGTATGATTTTGCATGTACATAGCAATCTTTTCTGCTAATACTTTTACTGGAATATTCATTCCATAATTTTCTTTGAATGATTCAGCTTCTTCATTTGCTTTCTTAACTAATTTTCTTGCATCAGGAAGAAATCCAGCACAAGTGATTCCGACATGAGTACCAACATTAAATATACGTTTATTTGATGATTTTTCAATCATTTTTGATATTATTAACTTCTCTACTCCAAATACTACTCCATCAATACATTTAATTGAAAGTGCTGTTGCACTATTTTCAACTGCTTTTGTCGCATAGTCAATTTGAAATACCTTTCCGTCAGGTGAAAAGGTTGTACATGAATCATCATATCCTGATCCAATTGAACTCATTGTTGTAATCTTTTTGAGTTATTTCGTTTTAGTTTTTCTTTTTCTTTTTTTTTTATTTCAATATCATTTTTACTATAATTTATAGAATTTGTTTTTTTTTTATTTTGTTTTTTAAGAAAAAAGATAATTTTCTAAAAAGAAAAACACAAATAAAAAATAAAAATTGTTATTAAAAACCCTTTTTTTTATAGAACAAAATAAGAATAATTGAATGAGCACAACAAGTGAACCAAAGAAGTCATTTCATCGTAAGAAAGGATGGAAACGACTTGAAAGGAAAGAGCCAAAAGTCATTGAAAATACAAAAACTGCTATTTTTATAAAAGGAAGGAATACAAGTAAAATTTTAACAGATGTGTGTGAAGACCTTGCGTTATATAAAAAACCACATGTTATCAAGTTTAATCATAAACATGAAATTCTTCCATTTGAAGATGAAAGACCATTAGAAGTTTATAGTACTGGAAGAGATGCATCACTTCTTGTTATTATGTCACATAATAAGAAAAGACCTAATTGTCTTACATTTGTTCGTATGTTTGATGGACATGTATTAGATATGGAGGAAATGCTAGTTAAAGAATATAAACCAATTCATGAATTTGAAGGAGTTAAACCTCCTTCAGCTACACGATTAATGTATAGTTTTAATGGATCAGAATTTGAAACAAATGAAGAATTTAAAATGTTTAAGAATATGATAATTGATTTTTATCACAATGATGTTAATGAGAAGTTAGTTGTCGATGAATTAACTGCAATGATGGTTTTTACTGTTGTGGAAGGAAAAATTTATATGACTGTTTATTATATTAAAGCTACATCAACTTCTATTGAAAGCCATGAAGTTGGACCTCGTATTGTCATGGTACCTGGTAGAAACAAATTTGGAGCTGAAGATATGAGAGAAGAAGCAATGAAAGTTCCACAAGAACTTGTTGCACCAAAGAAAAAGAAGAATGTTTCAAAAGATATGTTTGGACAAACTATTGGAAGAGTACATGCTATTGGTGAGGATTTAGAACAATTAAATAAGAAAATTAAATTACCTAAAGCTTTGAGAGAGTCAAAGAAAGAAAAAAAATTGAGTAAGAAATAATTGATTGATGATTATATTTCTTTGTTATTTATCCAAAAAATTATTTTTT